CTTAATAATATGTTTTTCTAATATTCTCTAACACTCTGTAACCTCTTGCATCTTAGTGACTTTATAGCTTTGTGTGAGGTGAAATGATATAAAAAAAAAAAATGATGGCTGCTTCTAAAAAAGGCAGAGTGTTAGTTCCTTCATAAATGGTATTTCCCTGTCTATATTTCCGAAACAAGGTATTGTAACTATTTACACTATTACATTACATAATCACTGGATTACTTCAACCAATGCTTTTATCCACTAGGCCATGTGTCACTGGTTGAAGTAATCCAGTGACTTGACCCAAAGCATTGTGGGTTCAATACCTGGCCACAGCCAATGTGAACGAAACTTGGAGAGTTGAGTAACTTAAGGAAATAACTGAAACTGAGATATCCAGAAAAGGCATGGCATGTGGAAGTAGAACAACCTACCCCAATGGATGAAATAAAGGGTTTGGTTTGAAATTCCAACATATATCACCTGAAGAAGGCCAGAGTATACAATGGCTGAAATGTTATGACTATAACAATAAAGATGAGGAAAAGAGTCCAAATAAGGTAAATAGTGTAAATGATATTTCCGTTAGAAATCAACACAGATTTTAAAAAAAAAAAAAAAATTATAAACTATCAAAATATTATTTAAATTTATTTTATTTCTAAGATAACTGATGATTCTTAATCTAGAGATTAAAGTTTTCTGGATGTAATAAACAAAAATGACCAAGTAAAAAAATCTGATTAACTGAGGGGTCAGGGTGGAGCAAGTATGATGACCAATTAATTACTAAATGGCCAATTTGGCCAATTACAAATTATCAGCCAATTAATCTGTGCAACGTCCTCTTATGAATGACAAAAGATTAAAAAAATAAATAGAAACTTTATTTTTATTTTTTTTTTACAGTAAGGTTCAACCTGTACAAGGCCTGGCACCACCCAAGGTAGAGAGTTACATTAAGGGGTAGTTGATATGGACAGAAGGGGAAGATAATCATTAACTCCAGACTTGAAAATGTTAAGATTGTAGGTATCTGGGAAACCTCCTCTAGGAAATCTGTTCCACAGAGCAGTGGTTTGTGGGAAGAAACTGAGTGGAGCTTACTTCTCGTCAATGGAATACAGAGGGGAATATGGGTGGTTTTGCTACTATGTAAGTGGCATGGCGGGTCCTAGTCATGAAGGTTAGACCTGGTTGGAAGTTCATCCAAGCACTTTCCGTGGTAGCAGCAATAAAGCAATGAAATAGAGATTGGAGGGTGGAAAATAATTATTCTTCAACAAGGATATGGAAATGTTTTCGAACTCTATCAAGACTGGAAAGTGAGGACTGGGAAGCTCTCACCCAAATATGGCAACAGTACTCCATTTTGGGTTTTCTTTCTTTTCTTTTTTTTAAACTATTTCACCCCAAAGCATCTTGTGCTGTAGAAAGCATTGATGGCATTCATTTTTATCATCATTTGACATCCTATTCAACTCTTAGATGTTTCAGTCGGGTAATGATGATTATATTGCAGCTCCTACGCACAGCTTAGAGATACAACACTTTCCTCAGCACATGAGCTATTCCAAACAACTGTTTATTATTATGTTGGCATCACACATTTATGTAGTCCAGTGGGTCTCAACCTTTTTCTATTCATGGTCCCCTTTTGTTTCTGATGCCCCCACTCTTAGGTACTTACTTTATTTAACAATAGCTCATTTTACAATTTCTGAAACAAATAAACAGTGATATTTCTCCAAACTTCAAAATTGTTTGTTTTCAAAACCAAACCAGTTTAAATGCAACTTTTTTCAACAAAAAAATTCTACACATAAATTTTATATAAATGTAAACCAGTAAAATAAAACACAATTGAAAGTTATTTTATTACATAATTTAAGTTTATTAGAACTAAAATATTAAAGGGTGACAAGGTTATAGCACAGTGGCTCCTTTCATTGAACTTGTGATCCCACAAATCACAAAATTTTTCTGTGGCACACATAAAAGTTGTCAGGGTCCCTTGTGGCCCCTCGGTTAAAAACCGCTTATGTAATCAATGGAAATTCTGTTCAACATGATTCTTGTCAACATGACTCCTTACAACTCAAGAACTTTTCAGAGAATCCTTACAGACTAAAAGATGGCAGTTTTCTGCTGAAGGTCTACAACTTCATCTAAACTCCAATTCTTCCTAAATGTTTTTTTTTAATTTTTTCTTTACCAGTTTTCTCATATCAGGTCTTTTTATTTTTATTTCTACCAGTTTTATTATTATTTTTATTCTTTGTCAGTTTTTAATATTTTTATTTTTTACCAGTTTTTACATATCAGTTTTTTTATTATTTTTATTTTTCATTATTATTATTTGATATCCTCTCCAACTCTTAGATGTTTCAATCAGATGGGAATGATCATATGTCAGTTATTACAGACATTTTTGAGACAACACTTTCCTTAGTAAATGAGCTGTTCATAGCAGTACTGCTACCTGGGTATTACCAATTATGTCAGGTATCCCCAAAGCATCTTGTGAGGCAGAAAGATTTCTGGAAATAGTGCACTGATCACAAAAGTTGCTGCTTGATATATTTTTCCAATTTGTCCTGTCAGCTCTTGGTACTTCCTTATTTTCATCAGCTTCATCTTCACGATGTTATTATCCCAAGGTACCACAAGGTTCATCATGGTTGCTCTGGTGCACAAGTGTTATATCAGGGCAATTACTCTCCAGGAATGACACTTGCTCATTCTCAGCTATTGACGATAGTGAATACTTGGACCACTTCTTTGCACACTCAAGGCCATATACTTCATACATAGTTCTCATTATATCCTGATGGTGACTATATGCTTTTCGTACCAGCTGAGGGCAGCCACTGACAATGTGTCACACACTTTCAGTAGCTTTCCTACACAGCCTGAAGACATTATCAAACATGCTTTTATTCTGAAATAATAACTTTTTTCTTTAATATTATTTTGTATAAAATTAAAAAGAACAAAAAATCTTTTCTTTATGGATAATTAGAGGATCTCTCAAATATATTTTGGAGGTAGTAATGAGTTTCAGATACAAGTCCTACTATTTAACCCATAGATGGGAGTGATAAAAGGATTCATACTTATCCCATGGGTATTTGTGCATAAATCAATGTTACAAACCCAACTGAAATCTGAACTCAACTGTCAGATTTCTCATTCCAAGCCATTATCCATTACACCACATGCATACATACAAACACACACATGTATATATATATATATATATATATATATATATATATATAAAATATAAAAAATCTGTGGGTAAGTAATCCAACTAGATCCTAGTAATATTAAATATTAAAACTGATCCACAAAAGAGAGCTCAATATCACTGGAAATAAAATGAACATCATATGTATATACCCATATTACACAGTAACATTTCATTTTAAAACAGCAATACTTAAATAGACCTTTCTCCTCAAAAACAAAAGAAAACTACATGTATGTCAAAAAGTCAGGGTTCAGTTTGATGTTGTATTTATATTGTAAACATGACCCCCATTTACAATAATAGAAAATTAATGTTTAATTTAATGTTTAATTGCCTCAGTAGAGAAAATTCTTCTGAATTCTAGGCAACAAAAATTAGTCATGAAAATATTTTTATCTAAAAGAAATTACCAATTAATATTTATATTGGAAAGTAAAGGTTCATTTAACATTTTTTCATTTCAATAGTTATTTTGATTTTAATTCTGAAAACTCTTTATATTTTTATCAACAATTGATACAACAATCTCATTCTTTACACAACATAAGCTAATAATGTTGTAATGTTTGATTTCTTTTTTAAAAATGTTCCATTGCAATTTATCATTGCTAAAAATTCTGGTCATCATAATCTATGTCATTTGTCAATAAAGATATTTAATTTTAAAGCTTTTTGTTTATTCTTTAGCAATTTTTACTTTTTACAAATAAAACACACCAATTTTGCAAATTCTAAAAAAGTTACTGCAGTGCCCTCATCTTGAAGGGGTCCACCAAGGCAATTTTTGCTTGCCCCTATCTTAGGCTAAACTCATGCGTGTATGTGTGTGTGTGTATATATATATATATATATATATATATAGGATAAAAACCAAATAGAAAATGTTTATAAATCTAACATGTCTCACTTTTATTACAGTTTCATCAGAGAGAAATATTCATATATTTAGACATAATATCCAAAACAAAATCTGCAATGTTATTGGTCTTGACCTGGCATCTTGGCTTCAGTCACTTTTCCACCACTGCTATGTAGCTTCCCTGTGCCTTTTAAATACTTTCATGTTAATTATTCTTATGAACTTTCCTCTGGGACCTGCACACTATGAATTTAAGAAGCATCTGCAATTCTTTTTAGAGAGGCTGATAATGATTGACTTAAATTCCTTGAAGAAGGCAAAAGAGAAAGGATTATGCACTCCTTAAAGATTAAGGAATTTAGCATCAAGTTCAAAATATCAAATGACAAAAACTTGACTTAGACATGGAAGCCACGTAATCAGTGTCTCTAGCTTTTTAAAAATAAAGATTTCTTAAAATATAAAAATAATTTATAAATTGATCTCATTAATTTAGGGCACACCTGGCTATCTTTCAGTGCATCTGAACGCACAAGTTAAGAAATTCTGAAGACTCTCTATCCAACCCTCATTCTACTTTATTTAAAATATCTGCCTAAGCGTTTACTCTGATCATTTGTGAATATCTATGCTGATGATTGATTCACTTTCTACAGCTTATCAACATTTTGCAGGTTATTTAAAGCAAGAAAGTATATTTTTAGACTGTAAGAATTTTTTTTTGAGATAGTAATGGTTTCGTGATACAAGTCTTACTAATTGACCCATAGCTGGGGAGAGAAGTGGTGGATCCATACCTTTTCCCAAGGATATTTGTGCATAACATAACCAACTGGAATTGGAATTCAGCTCTCTGATTAACAATTCCAAGCCATTATCCATTACATCACCTGCAAACACAAGCTTACAGCACGTAGTATTTCCAAGCAGTCACCCATCCAGGTACTGACTAGGCTCAATGTTACTTAACTTCGGTGATCATATGGAAGGTGGTGTTTTAAAATGATGTGGCTGTAAGATGTTTTGATGATACATCGACATATGGATGCATCTCCAAAACTAGATGACCGGAGCTTGGCAGCTGATTTCTCTTCATAGCTAGAACCCGCCATGCTATGTTCAATCAGTGGTGGTGACTGGCCGGTCATATTCAATGCCATGAAAAACAAACTAGTCATGTTCTATTGTCACCAAACAAGCCCTGAATTTTCACCTATCGCAATGAACAGGTGTTCTTTCATGGTGGCTCTATGCCTTGAGTGCCTATTGGGACTTAAACTCAACCAACCCAAAACTCAAGTGAAACTCATACATACGATGCATCACTGCAGATGCTGGAAAAATGATCAATTCCCTGTACCATTCCAGTAAGTACCTGACTCTCACTGCTATCCTCTACATTTACAAGAGCCAGGTCATGACTAAAATGGAGTACTGCTGCCAAATATAGACAGGAGCTGCCCAAACTTCACTTTTGTGTCTCAATAGTCCAAAAACAACTCCACGTCCTTGTGGGTGATGGATTATTTTCCATCCAACAACCCCTTTCTCACTGACGAAACATCACAAGCCTCTCACTGCTCTGTTGCTATTTCCACAGAGAATGTTCAAACAAACTACATTCTTTAGTTCTACAAATTCTAACTTCCACAGCTAGAACCCGCCATGCCACGCCCATTGTAGCAAACCACCCTCATCCCCTTCGTATTCCATTGGTGAGATGTAAGTTCCACTCAAGCAGTTTCTTCCATGATGTTTAATGGAACTGACCTCTAAAAGGATGCTTCTCCAATCGCTACAATCTTAACCTCTTCAAGTCTAAAGTCAAGCATTATCTTACCCACATAAACTGTCTCTTATTCTGTAATCTTCTAGTGGCTCTTGAGCCTCGTACAGGGTGAACATCATTGTAAAAAAAAATTAATCAGCCAGATTATCAGAGCCCCCATGGCCCGAATATAAATAAATAAAAATGATAATTATATAAATTTTACTGAACAATAGATTTATTATAACCAACTCTTTAACATTACAAAATTCATGTGGCCTTTATACATTCCTGTTGACATTTGTTAATGTACTGTTTTTTTTTTTTTAATAAATTTAGGAATATTTTAAGATACAACTCATATGAAAAGAAACAGGAAAACTAATTTCAAATTCAGAATTTCAATCTTTCTTCTCCATTTAATCATTACACAGAAATTAAAAATGGATGCTGAAATGTTGTCCATGAAAATGATTCATTCATTCATTTTCTACAGCTTATTAACTTTTTACAGGTTATTTAAAGACAGAAAATATTTTTAGATTTTAAGAATTTCTTTTTTGTAGATAATAATGATTTAGTGATACAAGTTTTATTAATTAACCCATAGCTGGGGGGGAAGGAGGTGTATTTATACCTAATCAAAATTTGATCAACAAGAAATTATAATGTGGATATATTATAGTATTCCTAAGTGGTCACCATCTTAGTACTGACCAAGCTCGACATTGCTAGACTTTGGTGGTCGTACAGGAAAAACTGTTTCAACCTGATGTGTTCATAATCCCCATAAAAAAAAATAAATAAATAAAAAATGAAGAAAGAAAATAGTAATTGGCATGAAGTCATCTTTTAAAATGCTATATCCCTTCAGAATATAAACGATCATGGCTCTCTACAATTTCCTTTATTTTTAATATCTGTCAATTGCCATATGATTTCCTGTTGCCTTTAATACTTCTACACAAGCTGCTATCCATGGCTAGACAACCCGTTGTTTAATCGATAGCTTAGAGGAACAGTGAAATATTCAAGCCTTTCCAAGTGTTCCAAATGAGCAACATTTCATATTTATAACCCTACCATTTGTCCTTGCTTTGAATTTTATTGCTATATCTGGTCGAGTGCTTATGCTAAGTATTTAGAGATTCTTGATAAAACACAAAAAAGAATCTGAAATGTTATTGGTCCTGACCTGGCATCACAGCTTCAGTCACTTTGCCACCATCATACCAAAGCTTGCCCTGTACCTTTTCTATAAATACTTTCATGGTACTTGTTCAGATGAAATTTTCTCTTTGGTACCAAGATTTTATGAATTTAAGTGCAGTACTGGATTGGCAGCAAGGTCTCGTTCTTTTACAGTTGAAAAGGCTAGATGTAACCATAAATTCTATGCCAACAGTTTCTTTTCTCACACTTCTCACTTGTGGAACTCTCTTCTGGTTTCCTGCTTTCCAGTTAATGTTGATCTTCAAAAATTTAAATGTAATGTCAATCATCATCTTCTCTCTTATTAATTCCTGTTTTTTTTTTTTTTCTCTCTCCTTAATAGTGTTTTTTTCTCATATTCTCTAACACTCAATTACCCATTGTGTCTGAGTGGCTTTATTGCCTTGCTTGGGATGATATTATTAAAAAAAAAGGTGTATTATTATGAAGTAAATGCAAAAGACTTGGATAAAATTTGAACGAAACTTGCTTCCAGTTTTTGTGTTAGTAGCCGTTACAGCCAGCTGCACATCCTAGGAAACAATTATGAAAGTGAAAAATAAGGACGGAGGTTATTATCAAAGTAAAAAAAGAAAAAAAAAAAATCAGAATAAGGTCACCTCCAATAACCCAGATTTCAGGGCACAATTAGGACATAGTCCTGACAAAACATATTATTTTGATTCTTCTAGACACAGATTTCAATTAGCTCAAAGAAGAAACATCAGTTTTGCTAACTACATGTTTAAGTTCATTTTAATTGTTCCATGAAATGGAAAATATCAACTCGAAGCCAGATTGCTTCACTCTATTAACAGTTAAGAGCAAAAAGAAATGATGACAATTTATATTACTACTAAGCAATCTATAAATAATTCTACGAGAATCAGGGGTGGGATAATAACTTATTGAATGACAACCAAAATTTATACTAGTTTTGTATTTAAACCATGTTTAATTGCAGACCCCTTTTTATTACCTTTTCTTCAGCCTGGAAATTTGAAAACAAGACTATCAAGCAGAAGCCAAAGCAAAACAGAAAAAAAAAATTATCAACTGTCTTTTCAGGAGAATTAAAGATTGATTTGTTTTTTTACAGTATCAACCCTTTGTGGGTTATTTAAAACCAAAACATATTTTGGATTGTAAGAAGAATAATTCTTTTGTGAGTGAATATTGCATGAATAATTTTTTGAGAATAACTGTGATTTTTCCAGATACAAGTTCTACTAGTAAATCCATAATTGGGGGGTGTGGAAAATTAAGGATTTTGGAGGGGGGTGATAGGAGGGGGAGTCATCATGAAACTTGTAAACTGAGTCTTTTTGATGGATCAAATAGTTACAGCCACCAAGATTTGTGAAATTAATACAACTTTCTCCCACTTTCATTTGGCCTTGTGTCAAACTAAACTTAATGAACTTGTAACTAACTAAAATACTCTCTAAAAGTGTAAATGCTACAATTTTTTAACCCTAAAATAATTTACTTGGTCATCAAATAAGTAGAGGTTTAAATATCTGGAAAGGATTTTAACAGAGGATGGAAAATGCGACACAAAAATCCAAACGTGCATTGGAATAACAAATGATGCATTCCAAAAGCTATGCAAAGTATTAAAAAACAGGAAAAGGGTGCTGAAATGTCATGTAATATCAATCCACTTTATGGCAGTGATGAAGAGGAAACTAGATGCCACAGAAATGTGGTTCTACTGAAGGATGATGAGGATTCCATGAACAGAGTGCATAAACAATGAAGAAGTCTGAAGAAAAATGGTAAGTAAAAGTCAAGTTATATTCAGAATGAAACAGCTGAAATTTTTTGAACATATGAGGAAAAGGCGCTTGAAAAATTTTATACCAACAGAACATGTCAAAGGCAAAAAGGGCAGGGGAAAGCAGTGGGTCAACTACCTGATGAGTTTTTGTGAACAGATCATGAAATGGAGTGGCAGGAGGCTCAGCAAAGGCAGAAATGCTGCTAAAGGCCACTAGAGATAGGAAACTGTGGAGAGCCATGGCAGCCAACATCCTGAAGGGACACGACACATAGATGATGTTGAAATGGATGTCCAGTGACAAACAATTGTTAAAAAGGATGATGGAAACAAAATAAAATAAAACTTTGTTCAATTTATTTTTCTCATTCAAAACTCTTTATGAAAAAACAAAAAACAGAAACAAAAATCTCTTGTGACAAATTTTCACCAGTTAAGAAAAAACAAAAGCGAAAAGATAATTATTTCAACAAGGATCACACAAAAATGAACCAAAATTAATCATCTTGAAAACTTCCAAGGAATTGAATGTTCCTGTTAATTTAGAAATTCTTCAATATGGTTGATTTTTTTTATATATAAAGTTGATTAACATTTAAACTAAAACCTTTTCTTAAATTAAAAGGAACTGATCATTTAAGCCATCCATATCACATCCCAAATGAATCTACCAATAGAAGACAATGATCCAGCTTTCACCCCGAGACCAATATACTGTTGATGAGCAGAGAAGGCGATGCTGATGACATAGGTATTCATATATTCATAGTTGAGATAAAAAGGATCTTGAACAAAAGAAAAATCAATATTCCAAAACGGAAAGTGTTCCAAAAACCAGCACTCAACCCGCCACAAAACAGAAAGTATGATCTGGAATTGGAATTAAATCAATGATAGCAAGCACCAATCCTGAATCCATCATTAATACAAAGTAAATTAATAATCTTGAAATCTCTTTTCCTGTTAATTTAGAAACTCATCAATATGATCATTTTTTTTTTTTTTTTACATATAAAAAAAAAAAAGAAAAATTCAGTAATTTTGTAACTATTTACATGCAGACTATTATCCTCATCTCTGTTGTCAGAACATTTCAACAATTGTGCCCTTCAACCTTCATCAGGTGCATGTCAATCTGGATAATTCTACAGCAAATTTTGAACTGAACCCTTTAATCTACAGGGATAGACTGCTCTCATTCTACCGCCCATGTCTAGGGACATCTCGTCTAGTTCTTATTTTTAGTAC